TTCTTAAAATTCACTTTCGATCCAACACTTGCTCATTTGCGACGCTCTAGACCTCCGTATCTGCTGCGGGAAAAGAGCATCAATTACTTTTAAATATTGTCTAACTTACAGATCACAAGTTCAGTAATTTTTCATCTTTAACGTTTGAACCCAGGAGTCCACAGACTTCTCTGATTGCACCTCAAAAGCCAATAGTTTATTAAGACATGCATGCTTGACGCAGGATCAGTTTTAACTGAAGGTTGAATTCCAATAAAATCAACGCAGGAACAAACTAATACATGATGTTGACCGCGTTCATTCCGTCCGATCGTGGATTCCGAATTTTCTCAGCATTTTTTGAGAAGAGGTCATACATTCTGGCGTAGTTATTCCTTATATCCTGAACAGCCATCCTAAGTCGAATGTACGTGGTCTCGTCCAAATCGCTGATTGCGCGTTCGTAGTCCGCGACGCCAGGCCACTTCATTCGCTTTGTGCACAGCTTCCCGCGAAATGACAAGTAGTCACAGTAGAAGTCCAGCATTGTGGTTGCGTCTGTTTCGGTCTTGGCGGCTTCCATGATTATTTCTTCCTGAACTGAAACGCCGAAATTGTTGCCATCCTCTATTCGCGGTACGTTCATCATCACCCACATACGTAGCAGCTGTACATCCTCGCCCAGCTGCAAAAGCAACGGCTTCACGGCCATGTAGGCTTCTTCAATTAGGCTGTTTGACGCGATTGATGCCTTTGTGCGAGGTATGGATTCGCCGTTGACAGTCTCTGCATTTGTCAGTGGTGTTGCGCTTTGTTCACGGGCTTTTTTTCTGCTTGTGTCAATGTCGAAGAGTGGTTGTTTTAACAGCTGATTGGCAGCCTGTAGGTGTTCAGGAAAATTTTTGCTCAACCGCAATTCTGCCTCACGGTTAAGCTCCGTTCTGAAGCTGTCGACAAGGGCTTCAGACATTCCGGGGAATCGCGCGACCTGTCTGAGACTTGCAATGACACAGAGGCTTTCAACTTGGCACGGCTGGAAAAAATCGATACTGACCGCATGTCCGCGTGCCCCATGCGTATTTCTCGCTTGAGATCCAACCCCTCTCAGACGATCGTCTTTTATGAACAAATTTCTTCGTCATCCGCGTTGCGTCTCATACACGCGCAATCTGTTTGGCCACCTTCCCTTTAAAGAAGCAGTCAGCACTTTTCAATCGTTACCTCTGCTTTATTCAAGTAGTTATTATCTTTTCAGTATAGATTATGAAGTAGGCGGGCTAACTCATGAAATGTCAACAGAAATTCCGAAATGCATTTTCGTTTCGAGAAGAATAATTAGGTAACGTTGCAAAACTAGTCAGCCTGTAACATAATTCAATAATATTTCAGTTACCTCAGAAGGCCAGCTTTCGAACGAACTTCCTTCCAGCTGCATGCAAAACCACACTGTAAAAAAATGACAACTTAAATGGCATGCATTTTTCTCATTGATTTTCGATGCCCCTAAATGTCCAATTATAGTTGATGAAAAACATGCATAAAAATATTTATTCTTTCGCTCATTTGATAGACAAGTACGTATTCTTCCAATCTGATACTCGAAGGAAGGGTATAATTCGGTTTTCAAAAACTTTTCCAATTCCCGAAAAATTTTGAACGCTCTCTATCGTTACACTTGGATTCAGAGTTTCCAAATTATAGGTCGTATATTTTCCTCGTACGGAAAACCACACATTTCTCTACGGTATTAAGAGTAGATTATATGGGGTTCATAAAATTTGGCAGTGGATTTGATCCATATTGTTAACTTTACAAGCCACATTGGTAAATGCAGGGACATGACGTTTATGAACGGCCATATCACGGTATTTAAAAGTCCCAAAATTAGAAACTTTTTTAAAACCGAATTATGTCCCTTCTTCGAGCATAAAATAAAAAGAAGACGTAAGTTTCGACCGAATGAGCAAAAGAATGAACATTTTATGCATGTTTTCCATGAAATATAATTGGACTTTTAGGGGCATCGAAAATCACCGAGAAAAAAGCGCTCTACGTAAGCAGTCATTTTTTACAGAGTGTAGTTTTTGTATGTAGCCGGAAAGAAGTTTGTTTGAAAGTTGGCATCGTGAGGTAACTGAAATATTATAGAATTGTGTTACAGACCGACTAGTTTTACAACCCTACTTAATTAATCTTTTCGAAACGAAAACCTATTTCGGAATAAGAGAAGGAGAAGCTTCGAGCACCGGAACACTTTGCTAATTGTCTTGAGCTTTCAAACTCGTACAGGAGTCCATCTTCAGAGGTAGTGGCAGCGACAGAAAGCTCAGGACAATAAACAAAGTGTTCCGGTGCTCGAATCTTCTTCTTCACTTATGTGTACACCTGCAACTCGAAATTTCGCCTTCATTCGCATTTCGGAATTTTGGTTGACATTTTATGAGTTAGCCCACCTACCGTATAACAGTTAAAATTAATGTTAATACGTCAATGGGGTCAAAATTCAAAGAAGGCGTGGTTGAAAATACTTACATAACATTGCTTTGATAGCTGATTTCATTGTCTACGCCTTATCTACATTTTTGGACGGCACTTCTACCCACTGAAACCACTAAAACTTACACTATGACGTGGGGCGCGTAATTTTTTACGTTTTAACCACGCAGTTTTCGTCAATTTGCGTTGGCAAATCGTTCTGGCAACGAAAGGATGCTTCCGTGCTGCCAGAAACGTGCTGCTTATAATGGACTTTATTTAACTGTCCAGTGTGAAGGAAGCTAACATTTGATAATAACGGAAGAAAAGACACTTCTTTTCTCCCTTGCTATGATGAAGTAAAAATTGATGCCCAAGGATGA